TCACCCAATGTTTGCTTGCCTTTGTTTGTGTGTGCCGGGGAGGGGGTTATTTAGGTAAGTGTCTCAACAGTTACATGCTAGACTTTTAACTAAGAAGTGAGTGGTTTGAACCTACGGGGGGGGGGGGGGGGGGGTTCTTTAGGTAAGTGTCTCAACAGTTACATGCTAGACTTTTAACTAAGAAGTGAGTGGTTTGAACCTACCCAATACTTCTGCAGTATAAAGACTTTGCAATGTATTTCTGTATAGATTAGTCGAGAAATCCCTGTCAAGTATTTCTATTCTGCCATAGTGGTTGATAGGAGTTGAAACTTAATTCAGTGGTACCTAACCAGAATATTATATGTTAAAGAGGCAAGTTGTAATATCCTTGGTCACTACTAAAGAATATTGTTTTAAAAGTAGAATAAGCAATCTCACAAATGAAAAACTATAATATAAAAATTCATTTATTAATTCAAATTTTTGAAAGAAAAGAAAAAATACATAATAATAAAGATTTAAACTTAAATATGTTAGTTATTGCATTTAATATAAAATACTACAAATAGAAGACAACGATTGTCAGAGTAAATTCAAAGTAAAACTTCAATCCATTTACAAAAGGCACATATTCTAATGACAAACAAGTGGACTTTGGAGCAACAAGCATTCCCAGATACAGGATAAAAGGTTTTTCATAATGACCAAATGGTCAGATCACAAGAAATACCATTTCATATTAAAAGCATGCATAGAACTGACAAAAATCAGTCAGAACATAACAAAAATAGAAAAGGAATAAAAAGAATGAATTACAAAATATCAAAAGTAAAAATCTAATGACCAAAACACTCAGACAGAAATGTTCGAGTTCACTATTAGTCAGAAAATTGCCAACTGAATTAAGAATGAACCAATAATTATATTCACTAGAATATGAAAATTAAAGAGCTATAACATTTAACTTTGGTAAGGATACTGGTAAAAAGGGGATGCTCTTGTAAATCATCCTATTGATAGGATAGAAATGTGAAGTGCTATTATCACTTTGGAAATCAAGAGGACAACCTCTGTGTATTGGAAAGATGCACCTAACTTTTAACCCAGGTATCTATCCTCACAGCAGCTAAACCACTAGTATATATAAAAGTGTGTTCACAAGCGTGCTCATGATAGTATTATTCAGGGTGGTAAGAAAAAGAAAGAAAAGGAGGAGAAAGGAAAAAGACAAGAAGTAAGAGGAAAGGGAAGGGAAGAGAAAGAGGAGGAAAAGAGGAAAAGCAAAGAGGGGGAAGAAAAAGTAATAGGAAATAAGTTCCTATTAAGCACTGGACTACTAACTGTAAGGTCAGTGGTTCAGTCCACCAGCCTCATTTTGAAAACCCTACACAGAGTCTCTATGGGTCAGAACTGACTCACCAGCAGTTAGTAACAACAGTAGTATTCAATATTGTGAGACCAAAAACCACATGGCTCTAAAATAAGTAGTTCTTCAACCTATTTAACCTGAGAGAAAATTTCTTTATAGAACAGAAAGTTAACTATTTTAATCTTTGCAACTTAAATGTAAAATACAGCTCTCAGAAGATAGAAACCTTCACTGGCATAGTTAATGTATTCAGACTGCTAAGAAGTTCACACAGCTATGTGTGTTCTTATTTGCCAAATTACAAAACATTTTATAGATCTTTTGCAGTAATAAGAGTACAAGACGGTACTAGTGTCTTATACTTCTTTTATGTGTCTTTTTCTGTATGGTCCTCTTTTTCTGGGCCCCAAAAAGCTGTATCCACTCATAATCCTCTATTGATTTGTTTTGTAAGCATCAGCTACACTTACCCAATGTAGGGGAACTTTTCCTCTTAGCTGGACCTTGCCACTTCATTGTAACCAGAAAATTCACTACTGGGTTAATTCTAAGAATCTTCATTCTACTTCTTCTTCTGTTACAGGGAACTTTGACTATGCTGATGACCATCACTGCTGTAGAATTACTCATTGCTCTATCTTTCTTAATCTTTGCGGGCCGGTAAGCCTGGTGTGCTCATGAGGGATGGTGCTGAATAGCACTGTGAAAATAAAGACGTGTGCAAACAATATTTAGAAATGAATTCTGCTTGTGAACAAAATGCCAAAAGGAGCCTAGAATCTTAAGGCTGGCAACTCTTTGGGGCAAAAGGTGGGGAAGAGGAACTGGCTACACTTTGGTTGATTAAACACACCCTGCCTGATTACAATGCCATCTCCTCCTCTCCTTAATTTATGTGGTCATATTAGTGTCACCTTCTCTGTGTGTTTTTAAACCATTCGCAGGAGAAAGATAAGGCTTTCTGCTCCCATAAAGATTTACAGCCTCAGAAACCCTGTACAGGATCACTATGAGTCGGAACCAACTCCACAGCACGTAACAACAACAACATAGCAACGATAGTGAGGTTCACACAGGACAGGGCAGTGTTTCATTCTGTTGTGCATAAGGTTGCTATGAGTCAGTACTGGCTCGATGGCACCTAACAACAACAACCTCTGTGAGTCATGCATACATTCAACTAATGAATGGTAATGTGGGTGTTGCGTCTATACAAACAGAGATCAGAGCTGAAGCAGAGGGGCTGAGTGCAAGTCATTTCATTCTCTGGCTCGTGACATCTGCTGATATCTCCAAGTGGCTCTACCCGGTGAATTTCACAACACTGCTGAGTGGGGAAAGTAGCTGGTTGATAGAGTGGTTTAGTCCACAAATTGATGCTGAAAGATCATCAATCTGAGTCATTTAAAACAACTAGAACTGTGGAGCCATTAGAATACTATGTCCTAGGCACTGCACTAAGTGTTTCATGTGTTATTCATTTAATCTCAGAAATATCCTCTAAGTAGGGCTGGGGAAGAATGCTTACCTTTCATGCAGAGGATTGAAGGTACTATGGGCTGCTAGAAGAACAAACAGGTCTGTGTTAAAAGGAGTCCAGCTGGAGTGCTCCTTGGAAGTCAGGACGGTGAGACTGTATTTCTCAAACTTTATACATGTTATCAGGAAGTGCCAGTCCTTGGAGAAGGACTCATGCTTGATAAAGTGTAAGGTCAGTGAAGAAGAGGAAGACCCCCAACTAGATGGACTGGCACATTGGGAGCAGCAATGGGCTTGAGCATAACAACAATTGTGAGGATGGTGCCAGACTGGACAGTATGTCATTCTGTTGTGCCTATGGTCACTATGAGTCAGAGCCAACTTGACGGCACCTAACAACAACAACAACAACAACAACAGAAACATGCAGAAGATCTGGGTTTAATTCCTGGCCATTGCACCTTATACACAGCTAGCACTCCTCTGTCTGTAGAGATCATGCTGAACAGCTTTCAGCAGAACTTCCAGGCTAAGATGGACTTGGAAGAAAGGCCTGGTGACCTACTACTGAAAGATCACTGCTCCTGAATATCCTGTGGAATGCAGTTATACTCTGAAAGCACACGGGACTGCCATCAATTGAGAAGGACTCAATGGTAGTTGGTTTTAATGTTAAAATAGAACCACTGTGTTTCAGCCCTTCAGATTTAGTCATGCAAATAATTTCCTAACTATAGCCTTGGGTCTCAAATGAAATATTTGGAGACCACCATATTCAATACACACTAAAAAATTCTTGAACCTATCTGCATGGATGCCTCCTCTCCACTTACCCTTAAAAGTGAAGTTCAATGTCCTACCAGCCCATCTTTGGAAAATTTCTAGAGTCCTTCTTGTCCTTGGGGACCCATCATCCACACCTGCTTACAGGGTGGGGGCTACACAATTCTTCCACTTAAGGTAGCATGAAGTTCACCAGGCAGTCCCCGGGGTATCCTTTTTCAAGAAGTGAAACCTCTTAGTTTCACTTCGGCTATGGTAAGACTGTGTTAAACCAAAATAATTGGGGCAAAGCCCAAGGTGGCAAAATCTACTGATTTCCGTCACCTGGTATCTATCAGACATCCCAGCTCCAGGCTCACTCTCAGCATATGTGAAACACTAGCAGCATCAAACGGAACTGGTTGGCACAATCTAAATCAGCTCTTGAGACCTGAAGCTTTGGAGACAAGGTAAGGAGCCAACTTGCTTTGTTTACACATCTGAAAGGGGGGTGATAGATGAAACACAGGTTAGTTTTGGAGCCTGGAAAATTTCACTTTAATCCTCAGTCAGAATGTCTGATAGTTTCATGATTTGAGGGGTGATGTTGTTGTTGTGAAGTGCCATTGAGTTAGGATCCTGTACAGGGATTCCAAGGAGCAGCTGGTGAGTTGGAACTGCCAGCCTTTATGGCCCAAACTGACTTTGCAGTTTACTGCATTAACCAGCAACACCACACAAGGCTCAGTGCCTAGCTATTCCTTTAACCACTCTTCCTCTGAAGAATTAACCTGGACAGCCAAACTGCTAGCAACTCTATGATGGTAACAGATTACAGCATATATAGTAAAGCATGGTTTCAAACCTCAGTTCCATCACAGAAAAGTCATGTCACTTTGACAAATTATAATAACTCAGTGTGCTTCCATTTTTTCATCTATAAAATGGGGACAATAATAATATTTATGAAGATTGTTGTTGTTACTAAGTGGCATCAAGTCAGTTCCGACTCACAGTGAGGGTTTCCATGGGGTGGCTGGTGAGTTTGAACAGTCGACCTTAAGGATTAAACTGACCTTGAGGTCGAGTGCTTATCTTACAGTGCTACACCAGGGGGAAGAAAAAAAAAAACCCATGACTATCCAGTTGAATCCAATTCTGTCACAGTAGAAGTGCCCAAATGGTTTCCAAGGCTGTAAATCTTTATACATTTGATCGTCCCATAGAGCTACTGGTGGGTTCAAACCATGAACCTCTTGGTTTGTGCAATTTTCGCAATGTTTAATAGCCTATGTGTGCCCTGTGTTACAGCCCTTAAATTTGTCCCTATTTTTTCATTGATGACATTTATAATTCTGGGATTCACATTTAGGTCTTTAATCCATGTTTGAGTTATGTCAGACTGAATTGAGGGGTCAAATGAAGGAAGGGGTTTCTCTTGGAAGAAGTGGCAGGCCAGGGGAAGAGTGTACACTCAGGAAGACCATGATGAAAAATATGATGATGGAGTTTAAGCTAGTAGCCTTGAGCAAGACAAATGATAAAAGAAACAGATTGATGGCAGAAAAAGAAGATCTATGTGTTAAACCAGGAAAGGAAATTAAAAAAAATAAATAAATAAAACTCATAGGGTGACACTGGAAGTAGAAAAAAAAAAACACCCACGTGCAAGATGTGTTGCAAAGGTAGAAATGACATGACCTGGCAATGAATTAAATGTGGGAGATGAAGGAATTAGAGCGAGATGTGACTCGAACCTTTTCAGTTTGGCTCACAGGGAAAACAGAAATAAAGCAAGCTGAGGTCATTGAGTTTACAGCACAGTCCTTAAAGAGTACCAGCAGGTTCAGATGAGTGTCTGGTGGAAACTGGGTATAAAATGTGAAAGAGTGAGTGGGTGGCGAGGAAGTAAGAGAGAGAGTGGACCGTTAAACTTTTAAGAAGTTGGAGTCAAAAGAGAGTGGAGACTGGGCGTTGACTGAGGATATTATGGGATTCAAGGGAAAGGGTCTTTCACAAACCTCTATAGGTTTGACAGAGGATATTGCATGTGTGTTTACCGATGCTGCCAATATATCCATAAATGTGATGGCGCCATCAGAGAACAAAGTTACGAAAACTTCTTAGACATGGCCAAACACCTTGAGGAAATGCGTCACAGAGCCTGCAGGCTCAAGATCAAGGTCAACTGGCATTACACAGTCCACAAAGATAACAAATGATGTTGCCCTATGGGGGGAAAAAAAGAAACAGGACTTTGAGATTGGGGAACCCCACAGCATATGTTAATCATAAAGGATCTAGTAATAGCAATTATTCTTTGAGCATCTAATAATTTATAGGGAGCCCTGGTGTGACGCTCTAGGATAGGCACTATCTTAGACAGCTAACTACAAGGTGGGTGATTCAAACCCAGCAGTCCCTCCTTGGAAACCTTGTACATGGTTGCTGTGAGTCAGAGCCAACTTGACAGCACTTTACAACAACAATATTTTATAAATTACAAATTATCTCATTATCAAAAACATATTCTAAAATGGATAAGGCAAATTTTATAGTATATTTTTAGAGAGATCTTGGATGGCACAAATGGTTAAATGCTGGGCTACTAACTAAAAGGTTGGTGATTAAAACTCACCCGGAACCACCTCAGAAGAAAGACCTGGAGATCTGCTTCTGAAAGATCAGAGCCAAAAAAGCTCTATAAAACATTTTACTCTGAAACACATGGGTCACCATGAACGATGG